AATGCTTGTACATTGTATTTACTTTTAAGGTTATTTTTTACTGTTTTATTTACACTACTAACTGTTAATTCTAGAAGACTATTGTGAGGTTGGCAATACAAGGTATATGAAAAAAGCTCTGAATCAAAGTATGAAAATAAAATAGTGACGATTTATTGAAGTACACGGCAGATATTTTTTATTTACATTACTGATAAGCTATGAAAATAACTTTTCATAACAGAATAGTTGAAATTTGTCTGGACTTACCCTGGACTATTTGAAACAGAAGCAAGAAATCCTCCAATGTAAATAGATATGATGGATATGATGACACATGTTAATGATACAGGTGCAAACATCTGTACAAACTTCACACCAATAGAAACTATAATACCAACTATGATAAGCAGGATGGTTCCATACAAACGGAAATTATTTTGTAAATTTGTAGAATTTGTTGCATCTCCAACTGATAAGGACGGTGCTATGTACTTCTGCAATAAATAACAGAGCATTTAGTATAAAATTATTTCATGCAAAGTCAGTAGAAAATTAAACACATATCACAAAATATATTGTGATAATAACAAGCAGCATGTCGACTGAGACAGCTCCGCTGTTAGCAATGCACATTTCAATTAAAGAACTGAAGATATCATTAGAAAATGAACAATATGTATAGTATCAAAACAATTGGACTTGCTGTTTTCAACAATTCAAAAATATCACTTTTTAACAAAAAAATTCACCAAAATTAGAGAATTAAAGGAAACATCATGAAATGAACAAATCTAAGAGAGGTCTACCTAAGATACATATACACCAAGTATCAAAGCATTCAGGCTTGTAGTTTTCAAGAAGTCGAAAAAGTAAAAAAGATGACACGGACGATGACGGACAATCACTCATATGATAAGCTTCAGTCGACAAGTCAGCAGAGGAGCTAAAAAGTGCATTGAAGGCTGATACACTAGGTGATTTTTGGATGGTATCCATGATACAACAGGCGATCTGATTAAATGGACACTTACATCCTAATTAGTGGGGGCCAATTGATTGGGTGGTACCTAGAGCATGTGTATGCGGCATGTGATCTGATTGAACTGCAAGGTGTGTTTTTTCTGGACTGCAAAAATTTCAATTGTAATACTGATGGTATTATTCTTGATATCTTGCAGCCCCCATCATGACTATTGTAATTAGGCTAAAATGGATTTGAATAGTGATAAAAAATGTGCCAAAATATTGCCCTTGACAGTATTTTGCAGCCAGCACTCGCTCAAAAATATGACCTGTGCTTCAAAACATCACCCAAGATGGGGCATTGGAAAAATACAGTAATAAACAAGTCATTGAAAATGACACAGTCCCCGTTAAATGTTTGAAAGTTCTCTTTGTGCTCGTCATATTAAAGCGGAGGGGTTGTCGCGAGTGTGTTCTTGAAACTTGAGTTCCAAGTGGCGTATACAACAGATTGTTTATTTACATCAAAACACATGTTCTGTGTAGTAGTAATATGGCCAAAAATTAAAACAGCTGTTATTCGGCCATCTTTGATCTGATTATGCAACACACTGATATGTATGATGTATGTGCCAAATACGAATAAAAATGGTACATAAATTGTGGAAATATAGTAGTAAGGCCAAAAAGTCAGATGGCTGTCAATCGGCCAGCTTTGACAAGATTTTGAAACAAATTGTCATGGACATGCATCCTAACATGTATAAAGTATCATGTATGTGCCAAAGTTTGAATGAAAACTGACAGAGCACGTCCAAGATACCGCATAAAGAAAACAAACAAGATGCCTGCCAG